ACGACTGAGGGTGGGAGGAGGGAAGGAAAAAGGAAAAGCAAGTTTATAGTTTTAGTGAGGGAAAATGTGCTATAATGAGGAATAAAAAAAAAGTTTAGAGTCTACAGTGGTAAGAACATTGTAAGTGCAACTGGCCAGGCGCAGTGGCTCACACCTGTAATCACAGCACTTCGGGAGGCTGAAGCAGGCGGATCACTTGAGGACAGGAGTTCAAGACCAGCCTGACCAACATGGGGGAAGCCCATCTCTACTAAAAATACAAAAAAAAAAAAAATTTAGCCAGGCAAGGTGGTGCATGCCTTTAATCCCAGCTACTTGGGAGGCTGAGGTACAAGAATCGCTGGAACCTGGGAGGCGAAGGTTGCAGTGAGCCGAGATCGCCACACCATACTCCAGCCCAGGCAACAGGGCAAGACTCTCAAAAAAAAAAAAATGTGAGTGCAACTATATAAAACGATGTATGTAAACAAACAAAAGTACAACAGATTGCTATAACGTAGTGTTGTGTAAAATAGTGTGGTGTATTGGCAGTGCCTTGGCCATCCATTGTATAATCTTGGACACCAGTGTACTTAATTTCTCCGTAGCTCAGCCTCCTCATGTAAAATGGAAATTATAATAATAATACCTACTTCCAAAGGTTCTTATGAGAATTAAATGAGTTAATTTATGCATGATATATAGTGAGCCTTCTGTAAAGGTTACCTGGTATTATTGTTTTCCTCACTTTTAGAACTGTAGACCTTGGACTCAAACTATGTGTCTCATTGAGCTCCACTAGCCATTAATCATGTGACTTTCACAAAGTCACCAGTGCAATCTGAACCTCAATTTTCTCATCTATTGTGAGAATTAAAAGGGATAATGTACTTGGCACATGGCAAACACTCAATAAATGCTAACGGGCCAGGCATGGTGGCTAATGCCTGTAACCTAGAACTTTGGGAGGCTTGAACCCAGAGGCAAAGGTTGCAGTGAGCAGAGATCACGCCACTGCATTCCAGCTTGGGCAACAAAACAAGACCCTGCCTCAAAAAAAAAAAAAAAAAAAAAAAGAGCTAACAGATGATATTATTAGGAATATTACTAATATGCTGTCATAGTTTTAAAGTACAAAAAAGGAATAGAAGATACAAAATTTAATAATTTTATGTTCTTCCTATGTATAAATTCTTCCATTTTTATAACATCTAATTTTTGTGGATAGCGTTCTCAGACCCTCTTCTCTAGATGATGAGTCCCATACACCCTCAGGGCACTTTGAACAGCTCCTTCATGGGAGTAATTAACTAATTAGGCAGGTAGGCAATTTCTGGTTTATGTCCGTCTTCCTCAGGAGAATCTAAGCTCCAAGATGACAAAGATGGTGTCGCCTATGCCCAATATCTAGCACAAGGCCTGGCACTTCGTTGATTAACAAATATTTATGGAATGGATGAACAAGAAATGAAATAAACAAAAGCATTTTAACATGTACATTCTGAAATAACATAGTCATGATATTAAAAGTAAGTATTATTTCCTCCGTCTCTCCAAGAAGAGAGGAAGTGCCCATCTTGTAAGCTAAGAAGATAGTAAACATTCAGATTCTGGGGAGCTATTTTTGGCAGCCCTTCCTTAGGAGAATCACACTGCCTCAACCTGTCCCCAGGAATCCCTTCAGTTACAGCAGAGCTCTGGAAACCCAGTACTTTTCCAGAACCTCCTGTTCAGTAAAAGGAAAAGTACTCAGTCTCTCTAGATTATCTTCACACAGTGTACATTAGCCCTTACTCACTGACTCATGAAAGGGTAGGGAGCTTAAAACTGTCTTTCACTTCACAAATGAGGAAATGAGCCCAGAAAAGTGGATTGATTTTCCAACCCTAACATTTGTTAATAATAGAGCTGGTGCAATTGGGAATAGGCTCATTCTTACATTTCTCTCTCTTTCTCAATATATCTGTAATACACATATATTTGATTTATTTAAATTTCATTTATGAAAGATTTTTTACTACATTGGGGGAAAAGCCCTTGATGTGTTAAGCAACAGGAGTTGACTAGATTATATATATAATACCTATTCAATTATAAAATATATAATTATATGGAGAGCACATATGTGTATGTGTGAATGTATTTCTCAATTACTTATCTATGTAGAAAATGTAAAAAGGAGTATAAAAACTGTTAACAGTGTTTACCTCTGGTTGGTGTATTTTTATTTATGTTTTTCTGCATTAAAACTTTTGTTAATAAGCATGCAATACTTTATAACCAGAAATTCCAGTTTTTTAATTCCTGCTCTAATAGTTTTTAAACATTTTATTTCAGTCAGCTCTACCAGGTAAAGGGAGCATCAACTGAGGGTCCAAAGAAGTTCTACCAGTCATTTAACCTGATCTGTAAAATGGGTATAATTATAGCTACTTCCCAGAGCTCTTGTGTATTGGAATAATAAATAAGAAATTCCTTCATAACTCTAAAGCTTGTTAAAGATGTTAAGTGGTATTGTAATGATGATAATGTTCCGTGGCCTAAAAGAGGTGGGAAAACCCTTAGGATAGCAGGCATCTTTGTGCTAAGAAGTTTAGGTTGGGAAGGGAAAGAAGTCTAAGTGTCAGGAGAGAAGTAAGAGCTTTTTTGCTCTTAAGAAAATCAGCTGGGCAGGTGGCTCACGCCTGTAATGCCAGCACTTTGGGAGGCCAAGGCGGGTGGATCATCTGAGGTCAGGAGTTTAAGACCAGCCTGGCCAACACGGTAAAACCCCATCTCTACTAAAAACACAAAAATTTGCCAGGCATGTTGGCACACACCTGTAATCCCAGCTACTTGGGAGGCTGACAGGAGGATCGTTTGAACCCAGGAGGTGGAGGTTGCAGTGAGCCAAGATCGCACCACTGCACTCCAGCCTGGGTGACAGCATGACTCCGTCTCAAGGAAAAAAAAAAAAGAAAGTAAAACAATCATATGGTTGACCCCAGTTCTCTCCTTCCGCTATACTTTCAAAAAATGCCTCAATGTTCTCTCTTAAGATTAAACCTCCCTTCTGTCTCTTAAGTAGCCCATGCAAGAAGCAGCTTTTTTTTTCTTTCTTTCTTTTTTTTTTTTTGAGACGGAGTCTTGCTCAGTCTCCCAGGCTGGAGTGTGGTGGCGCGATTTCGGCTCACTGCAAGCTCCGCCTCCCGGGTTCTCGCCATTCTCCTGCCTCAGCCTCCCAAGTAGCTGGGACTACAGGCGCCCGCCACTACGCCCGGCTAGTTTTTCGTATTTTTAGTAGAGACGGGGTTTCACCGTGTTAGCGAGGATGGTCTCGATCTGCTGACCTCGTGATCCGCCCGTCTCGGCCTCCCAAAGTGCTGGGATTACAGGCGTAAGCCACCGCGCCCGGCAGAAGCAGCTTATAGTGAACAGGATCTAGTGTATTTTGAGACAATGGTACGTCACAAATACCATGGAAAATGAGATTTCACACATAGGGATGATTTTTTACACTAAACAGAGGTGCCAAGGGTCGTATGTAAAATAACTCTTCCTTTTTAATTTATTAATTATTTTTAGAGACAAGTTGTTGCCCAGACTGGAATGCAGTGATGCTATCATAGATCAATGCAGTTTCGAATTCCTGGGCTCAAGTGATCCTCTTGCTGCAGCCTCCCAAATAGATGAAACTACAGACATGTGTCACCATGCCTGGCTAGGTTTTTTAATTTTTAATTTTTTAGAGACAGGGTCTCCCTTCATTGTTCCGGCTGGTCTCTAACTCCTGGCTTCAAGAGATCCTCCCACTTCAGCCTACCAAGTAGCTGGGATTACTATATTTTAAAATGTAATACAGACTTATGATAAATTTACCCAAGAGAAATAAAAATTTATGTTCTCACAAAAACCATCACACAAATGTTTATAGCCACTTTATTAATAATTACTAAAAACTGGAAATAACTCAAATATTCCTTATTGAATGGATACACAAACTGTCATACATCCATATAATGGAATGCTACTCAGCCATACAAAAGGATGAACTACTGAAAATCACAACAACAGATGAATCATAAATGCATTATGCTAACTTAGTAAAGGAATGGAGACTCAAAAAGGCTACAGACTGTATTCTCCATTTATATGATATTCCAGAAAAGAAAACTATAGGGGAGAACTGATCAGTAGTTCCCAGAAGATAAGACAGAGGGAGGGGTTGACTACAACAGGACAGTAAGAGAATTGGCAGGGTGGGGGGGTGGTGATGGGATTACTTTTCATTGTGATGGTTACATGTATATGCATTTGTCAAAATTCATAGAACAGTACACCAAAAAGTGAATTTTACTATATAAAGTTTAAAAATAAATGTATAAAAATAATATAGTCCCAGGGTAAATTCAAACAATACAAGGAATTTAATAACAAACTCTCCCTCCTAGGTCTTTGTGATAATAGATCTATATTTTGGTTGCAGTGATGGTCACATACATCCATACATGTGATAAAATGATAGTGAACTATACACATACACATTACACCAATATCAACTTCCTGCTTTTGATATTGTACTATCATTAAGATGTAACCAACCAGGCGCGGTGGCTCACACCTGTAATCCCAGCACTTTGGGAGGCCGAGGCAGGTAGATCACCTTAGGTCAGGAGTTCGAGACCCGCCTGGCCAATGTGGTGAAATCCCATCTCTACTAAAAAAAAAAAAAAATACAAAAATACAAAAATTAGCCAGGCATGGTGGCAAGCGCCTGTAATCCCAGCTACTGGAGGCTGAGGTAGGAGAATCGCTTGAACCTGGAAGGTGGAGGTTGCAGTGAGCCGAGATCCCGCCACTGCACTTCAGCCTGGGCAACAAAAGTGAAACTTCGTCTCAAAATAAATAAATAAATAAATAAATAAATAAATAAATAAA